TTTTTTCTTCTTTTTTTCTAAAAATTAAAAATAAAAATAATTTTTTTTCACTATAACCGAATATACTGAATAATGGACAGATACATTTTAGTTAATTGAATTGTACAATTTAATATTTTTTTTTGGTTTTTTTTTCAATAAAATATAATTTCTATTTGAATGTTTATTAGTTTTTTTTAAGGTTAGAAATGAATCCTCCCCCTTTTTTCTTTTCTTTTTTTTCTTTTTTTTTAGAAAAAAAAGGAGAAAAAAATTAAAAAGATACATCAATCATTTTAGTTGTCTCATTAATTGAGTTGCTTTCAGTTTTTTTTTTGTATTTTTTTTTAAAAAAAAAAGAAGAAAGAAAGTTGCACTTTATTTTTAGGGAAATTGTCTAGAAAAAAACCAAACCCAATTTGATTTTCTTCCATAGAAACTAATTTGTAGTTGTTTCTTTTTTCTAATGATGAGTTAGTTAATCAGTCAGTTAGTTATTTGGAACGTAGGACAGATTCATGTTGTTATGATCTTATTAACAGAAGACATTCATAGAAATAGTTACTACGAATGATAATGATATATAAGGATATGATATGGGGAGAAATAATTAGTTTATAGAGAAAAAAATGGTATAAACTAATTTTAATTTTGATGGTTTAAAAGAGGATAAAGAGTGTATACACCTACACTATTGTGATCGATTCTGAGTCATGTCATCAAGAGTCTTCAACCATTGGTTATGATAGTCACGCGGATTCTAACCAAGTGGTCGGCATCTGTAAATATGGACTGATGTCACGTTTTTTTTTTTTTGGTTTGTCCGCCTCTACATTTCTTGTAACCATCTCCAACACTAGTCGTGGTAAACAGTGTTCAGGTATACATAACATGTGGCCCAACCATCTCAGTCGATGAAGATTCAAAAAACCTTATCAACTGATTTATCATCATTCCCTAATACTCTGCGTCTAGCTTCGCTATTACTTACCTGATGATCCCAGTAGATGCGAGCAATATTTATCAGACATCTATGGTCAAATACTAATAACTTCAGAGTATCTTCTACTCTTAATGGCCACGCTTCGCAGCCATAAAGTAAAACAGAACGAACTGTTGTGCAGTATACTCGTCCCTTTAATTGATAGGCGGATATCTTGCCTTCACCATAGATGACGTTAGTTGGAAAAGCCAAATGAGCTTTTTTGAGTCCGTGCTGAGATTTCGTCAGACACTAACCTATTTAAGCTGATCAAACATCCAAGATAAGTGAAGTTGTCAACGAGTTCGACTACTTAACTCCCTATCCTTAGTTCCGGTATCGATGCAGGTCAGTCCTGGTGCAACAACTTGCATTTAGACCGGGGAGTGACGCATCTCAAATATTTTAGCATTGTTGCTCAGTACTATCAAAAGACTCTGCATTTGATCAGCATCTTCATTAAACATCATCATATCATCTTTCAGTTGGATATCTATCAAGAAACATTTGAAGAAAATACGTCACAGAGCAACACAACATTTTTTAGGAGAACAATATCTGACAAAAAACTACCTACGAGTTTGATTGATGCCCACTTTTTATCTCTAAAGCGTATTTATATATGAAATAGAAGTTTAAACACGATTAGAAAAAAACATGTAGTTAGGAACAATCAATGTGGAGCAAAAAAGAGAACATCTATAACGTATAAACTTAACGTCATTAACAATGAACTGTATAGGTGAATGTTAAACATCCTGTCTAGTTGCTCTATCCATCAGTTTGGTTGCTTACATCAAGTAAGGTACATTAACTGTAATCACCGTTGATTGTTACTATGTTAACAAGATTATGTTTCCGCAAGGTTCTATGATGAAATAGAATTTAGATATGGTATTTCTGAATCTTCACTTCATTTTAAGATTAGAATACCACCTAAGATCCCTTCAAAATCTGATAGGATCTCTTCAGAATGCAGCATATCTCTCGTGTGTGAATATCCAAAGCTCCTACTTATTTGTAAATTTATTTTTGAAACTTTCGTTTTCTTAATGACATATTCTGACTGAGTACAGTGAGACTATAATTCATGGACAACCTTTGAACGACTCTACAGTTACCCTGAGGGTGTCCAACTAATAACTAAGACCAAATGAGGGTTATAAACTTGTTTGAGGAATTTGAATTATGATTTACAGTTGATGTTTAAATTTAGGAATTACATTTAGGGTTTTCATCGCCAAATGATATTAGCTATAATACCGAAACTCTATTTAACTAAATGGATGAGTGAATTTCGCACCAAAATTCGAAACCTGTTACCTCGTACCTGATTGGTTCGTTTATAAATTATAGTCTCACCAGACATGAATACTTTTTACTAGATTCCCTTATTAGCAACAGCCTACCGTGAATGAGAACAAATCAGCTTCGAGCTGAAGAGGAAATTAAGATAAGATGTTAGAAGTGGATAGAGCATACGTTGCGAAAATCATCAAACTGAATCATGAGGCGAGCGCTCACCTAGAATCCTGAAGGGAAACGGAAAAGAGGAATGCCGAACAACACAGTACGTTCGGAATTGGGAGAAGATACAAAAAGAATGAATAGCAGCTGGAAAGGATTGTAAAGGACAAAGTTAGATGGAGAATGCTGGTAGACGGCCTATGCTCTCCCATTAGGGTTAACAGGCGTAAGCAAGTAAGCTTTTTTCATTTATATTGTTACATAATATGTTCATTTAAAATTATCACATTTGCATTTCACGTGACACATCAGTATTACGACCTTTATATCATAATCAACTTTATCACGATTACATAAAACCTTATTGTTAATACAATTATGCAGATCGAAAGTACTACTCCTGCTAGTGTTTGTTTTTTTGATAAAAATTACCAACAACCTCAGATGGGTAGCGGTGGAATCCGTAAACGGACGTTTCCTTCAGTTTTAAACTCCTTAGCTGGATACACCTATACAAACCAGTGGCTAACTGGACTCAGTAGCTAAGTAGATAATATGACAGCCTTAGAAGTGAACGGTATACGGTTCGAACACGGAAGTAAACATCGTCTCTGACTTACAGTTACATCTAGCTGACGAGTCCCGAATAGTACGGAACGAGCGTCCTAAACTCCACTGTTACTCACTATTTATCTTCCGCAACACATAGTTGACATTCACAAGAGAGTGAATACTTAATGTGAGAAAATGTCCTATATTGACGTGAAACCTTCACGATAAGAAAGTATTTTGTAATTGACATCAAAATTACTTTGAGTAGTTTTTTTATACCTCAATTAATAGTATTATAAAAGGTGATTGGCCTAAACTAGAGAGTGGATTGTAGAATCAGTAATGCCGTATGTTTTAGATTGTTGAGATAATGAACAGAATGCCGGTAAACAGATGATCTACAAAGATAGAATATGATTGACTGAGAACTGCTTTGGAAAGTTAATAAGCTCTAAGATAAACGGTTGCCGAAAGGTAACACATCTGCCAATAGTAAAACAACTTTGTTACGCACAAAATACCAAAAATAGAAATTTTATCAAACGTTGTTTGAGACATAAATAATAGGTTGGTTAAGGCTCTATAGGCCACTCCAAAGTCAATGATAGTAAAGCTTGACTACTGGGCCTAATGTTCTACTTAACATAATGCAAGGATACCTTCATTTCGCCCTTGATTGTAATACATCGTATTTAATAATAATCGGCAGCAGAAAATTGAGACAATTTCTCCTTGTTCGGGACTAAACACTGGAATTTACGAAAGACATAATGGTGCTGACAATCGTCAGACGATCAGAACATTTATGCTGGTAAATGTACAACAAGTGGATATGTCAAAATGCAATAGTCATTAGTATGAGCGGTTTTTGGTGGAGTTTTATAGTTTATAATACGGGCTGACAATCACTGGAGAGCCATTGGAAACCAGGAAGCATCGGATAGCCGATATGAGATTCGTCACGAGTAATTATATATGACCTTGCCGGAATCGAATGCGTAGCCTTTAGGCCTTATCGCGAACGTCTGACTTCAAGACCAGAGTTAATATCCAGTCGTTTACACCAAATCGTCATATTGATCAGATATCTTCCAATGCCACTAGTAATTGCCTCATATTCCCAATAGTTGAACTTCATTGGTTACAGCTTCTCGGGTACTGGGTTCAATCTCTCATGGAGCCATGGATGAACACTTCTAAATACCATACTAGGACAAGATAACTGTTTCCTGCTGGTTTTGTAAACTATAGACCAGTCAGTTCAGTTATCTGAATAATGAACAGGAAATTTCAGGCCGAAATATTAAGCTTTTAATCATGAATAACATTATTCACAACAATTCTAAGTGGCAGACTAGAATGGTTACTAAGTAACGATGCTAATTCTCAATTGATGTTTGATTCGAGGATACAATGTTTTTAATACAACGGATAATAAGTGGTTCTGGTAACTTGATTGGGATCCCATAGATTCATTAAAAACCAAAGAGTTATAAAACCTAAAATCTATTTCCGATTGTTATATCCCAATGAGAATAATGAATAGTAACTGTTAGAATCTATGTCTGGACTAATACTATACATACACTTTGTTGTATAGTTATCAAGTAACTAAACTATTCATATTCATGTCCCTCTTATTATAAGCTTTATTTTGACCTATGAACTATTATTATAGAATTTACCATTCTTGAGCTGTGTCTAGTCTATCAATTACCATCTCCAACATTCACAGCTACATTTGGCTAAATCTTGTATAAATGTTGTTTCCTGTTTTACGGTACGATATGGTCTGTTTGGTTGGTATATAAGCCCAGTATGTTTCAAATACATGATTCATATCACGGAGACTGAGATTTGTATTCTGGACATAACAGTCAGGGCTAGGCGGGAATCAGAACCGATAAAGACTTTAGACTGCTCGTACGGGTTTTATGCGTCATTGGTCCGATCGATAATTCACTGTTCTCTAATTGACGGTATCGTTACGTTATATATAAATAAAGCAGAAGGGCACAAGTTATAACACCAATGTAATTTACCAAATCAAAACAGCTAATTTACTCTTAATCTGTTCGCATACAATAATAACAAGAGGAACAAAAATGGACAAAATCACTATATACACTTATCTATAGTGTAGTAAATACATCACATTACATTTGAAATGATCTCTTATCAACTATATTTAGAAGTATAATAAACCATAACAGAAGAAGTTATCACAGGGGTGAGGGTTGGTGGTGGTGGGGGGGAATATTTACTCAAATTAACTCAATTAAACAAGAAATCAATTAGTGACTATATGAAAAGCAAATTACAATGAAAAGGATATATTCAATTATGATTTATTTACAATACATTTTTATACAATAATAGTAATAATATCCATTCTCAGTTCATTGATATTAAATGGATATTGTTACCAAGCTAATTTTTTTTATCCCAATTTAAAGATTATTTCCCATAACAACAATTTAAAAAAATCAATAAATAATATAAAAATATGAATTCATATACATAGAAACAAGAGAAAAATGAGAAGAACAACATTTAATCAATCATTAATCTGATTCAACTATAACTGCATGTATTCCAGCTGCTTTTCTATCTAAATAACGTTGACGAGCAGCAATTAATTCTTCATCAGTAGTTACTCGTAAACGTGCCATTATTATTCCAGGTACTTTTTGATTCTTTTTATTCAAATAAGTATTTAGATCTTTTTTCGATTGATGAGAGGCTCTATTATGTAATATAATTGAGAAAATATAATATAAGTATTACTAATATTTAATCAATAAAGAATCAAACAGAATATTAACAAATAAATGAAGCTTAGTTGTTAAGGGATTGAGTGACAACCTTTGATTAAATTTATAGATGGACAAACATATTTATGAACTGTGTATAAAAATGATTATTTATATATATATAGTTTGTCTATATATCGGTCAGGTTGTGTTGAAACATATATGTACAAGGAGTCATCCAACAATACAACCCCCAAATGTCCTGGTACGGCCAAGAGTGAGTAGAGTCAGCTCTCGCTCTCTAAATGCTCTCACACGACCACGTGCATACAGCCACTGACAGGGAAGTCCTACTCACTGACTTCTCGCGGCTAGGGTGTTCTTTACGAAATTCAGAGGACGAAAAGCGAATGTCCGGCGCTTTAATCGGGTTGGTGGACATGGAGATTCAACCTAGGGGGGTTGGAAAACCCTGATCCCGAACCAATGGTGCACAGGGGCTCCAGCATCCTGAGGGAACAAATGGCGTATGAACTAATTATTGGTCACTGGCTACCATGGGACTGCATCTCCTCCTGACGTTGCTCCACTGTCTTGTGGATTAGACGTTTAGGTCAAAGGCTCCAGGTGTTGGGCACCCTGGAAGTATCCCAGTCCTCACATAAATCAAATGATTTATGTGGCGCATAGGCATGTGGTGCCTCCTTGTACCAATGTTCATGTGTTTAAATAAATAAATAAATAAAATGTTGAAAGTAAAAATGTTAACAATTGGTCAGATATTGTGAAATGACGAAGCTTCAAACACAATGGTATGCCTATATAGTAATATTTTGATCTATGAACTGAATAATTAAGCCATAAAACTTTCACATTAACACAAACTTAAAGAGAGTTTGATGACGACTTTGCAATCTCATTAGTTGTTCTTAGTAGTTGTGAGATCTTAATGGTTTCCACATGTAAAAGTACTGATTATTGCTTTTATCTATTATCATGTAGTTGTTTATGTTTTACTTAACTAACTGATAGATTGGGTTGAGTGATTGTATGAAATTTCCACATAATGTAACACATATAATCCAGTATAATGATAGAATATATTTAAATTAATATGAGCTAATTTACGTAAAAGCCTGTAAGTAAACTTTAATGGACTAAACAGAATGGGAGGTTTACAATCAGGAGTTATAAAACTCGAATCCTGTATGGTTGGGTTCTCAAAACACCCTGAAAAGGTTTAGCTATTCACATTTTTCCCATGTATCAGCGTCGTTTACTGCAAAGAATAAATGTCTGACTCCCCTATCACTTTGATAATTTGTAACTGTATTGAGTTATTTGAAGCATAATTTAAGTTTTGCTGAAAACTATAAGTGTTGCATTGACCCATTATGTTAACATATGCGTTCACTATGACAAAGATATTTTGATTAGTCATAGCTATAACCGGATCATAACAAATATAATGCTACTTAAATCATATCAGTATACTGCTTAGAAACAAAATAAATTCATATTTCTAAACAAAAAGTTACATATACCTTGTTTTATCATCTTTACGATCACTTTCGGTTACACCATCATCATCATCACAGTTAGGAAAAGCTTTATTTGGTGAGGGTGATGATACATTTTTGTTACTATTATTATTATTATCATCATCATTATCATACTGCTCTATAATAACATCGGTCTTTTTCCTTGTATGTTCTTTTACAGTTTGTTTTTTAATTGTAGATGCAGAGTTAGAGTCTGCTTCCAAACAATCTTCTTTGCTTGTAGTGCGATGGTGGCATTCCTCCTAATTGGAACAGGTAATAATGTAAAAATTGATTATTCTGGATTTATCTAAATACTAATGGTATATATAATTTTTCTATTTATATGATTATAAATACCAACACATCACACACAAGGTCACATTCTCTTAACCTACACTCAGAGTACAGCTCATATTCAAGTACCCGGTAAATGAGTTAGTTTGTATTATTTTTAAGGTTTCTGAGTATGTACGTAGTGAATAACCCAAATACGAACGGTGCACCCACAATTAGGACTAAAACCGAGACATTTGCTAGTCATCAGAATGCAAGATTAAGCTTGACGCTACCCAGAACATATTCAAAGTTAAGATGGGTACCCGAAAGTAGCAGCAATCTTGTGAACATACACCTCAAAAGTAGTTGATTGAAATATGACCAGTAAGTACAGAGTTGAGTTGTATAGTGATTTAACGGTCACGGGTTATAATGATTTCGTTCTACAAATTTGTATAGACTGTAACTAGTGCTAACTTCTAGCAGGCATTGCAAACGTGTTGCCCTACAACTGCAACTCGGGAATGGACTGGTTATTTACACCCCAATTAGCTTCAGCTAACATGAACGAGGGATAAGGAGTGTACCATATTACGTTTTTTCACACCATTTCTTACAGGAAAGACCATAACTAAATATAACACAAATGGAGTTTTATTTTTGAAATATTCTGAAATTGTCAGTTGACTGTTATTCTCAATGCTTTGCAAAACCAGAAAATGAACAGTAAAGTAACTAGTGCTGGGGAGCATTAAACGTCATTTCCACAGCAGTGATAGTTGTGTGCAAAAATAGTCCATAGTTACTGCTTAAAGGTTTATTATTTTTTATTCAAGTGTCAGTAACCCAATGTTAGTGGATATGTAGCTCCTTGCAATAATTACGTTACCTCTACGTATCAATAAAAAGCCAGGTGCTTGTCAAATGGTTTTCTAGGAGATAATCAGAATGACTACAACTATGCACATCTCCAGTGAAAAATTTTCGCAAGGAGAGACATCAAAAAAGCATCAAGTGAAAAACTAATAAATCCAACTTATCGAGTTAGAAAAGTGGCATTAAACTACTCGGTAATGTTTTTGTCCAATAATTATAGACTACACATGCTGTTCCTCGTTATCAAAACCTTGTTTCCCTAACACTTTGTACATGCTCCTCAGTAAAGACTAGGCAAGTGTACAGAGTTTCGTGTACGATGAGACAAGTAAAAATGAAAGCTAGCAAATATGGCAGCCAATAAAAAAGGATCTTACTGAGTATCCCGCAGATGTTTTATCTTGATTATCAAACATAAACCGGTAAAATCCCCCCAAGCCATCTTGTTTGCAAACATCCATAACTTTCTCTCTCTCCTCTTCTTCCTTGCGTTTTTCTACGAGTGCGCGAAGTTCACTTAATTTACTTTTGTACGCTGAGGTAACGAATGACTCCTTGTTGTTACACAGATCAGATTCTGCTTCAATTTCCTTCTGAGCCTTCCGTTCAACACATAGCTCTCTCTCAAGTTTGCGCTCATTGGATGCCTTTATAAGTCTACCGACATACTTGGACTGAAAAAATTAAGATTTAAAAGACCCACTGTTTTGACGGTTTTTCTAGAAATATCTTCTGCTTTTTTATCGTGTATATCGTCTAAGTATTCATCGTATTGAAATACTGATGGGTCTTCCTCGAAGGCTTTTTCTAACTCTGTTTTTACCTGAATATTTTAAAAAATATGGAACGCATTGATACCTTTCGATTAATCCTATTCTGAGCTATGCAAGTCGTTTGAGAATAATCGGCTGGTTTCTGAAAATTTCTCGTCAATAAACGATGAAACCCCTACAAGTTCTTTGTAGTTTTCCTCTTTATCGGATTCCTCGTTGAAGACGTCATTTAACGAAACCTTTATTTCATTTTTAGGCTTTCTAGTTGGGAAACTAAGACCGTACACCTTACCGCGTCCTTGATTCATAATAGACGGTAACCAATATTCATACGATTTAATGTCCAATATATTTTGTGAAATACGTTGAATCAAACGCTAACTGTTGTTTCCGATAAATCCAATATCTTCACAAGCTTGAATCAAGTGAACGATTTCTTTTCACTCGCTTTTTATCGTTTCAGCGTGGGTCTAGGTATCTGGTGACAGTTTTAGTTTGGAATGGACAAGAGGTTAGATGGCCTGTGTTAGTCCTGGCTGTGATGGTCTCCTAGTTGATTCAACTCTCTTTTGAAAGAGTCGACAGATGCAATTTTAGACACGTGTTGGGGCATTGAATTCCATTCGTTGGTGATTCGATGGGAAAGTCGGTAGTCAACTGACAAGTAGTTTGTTCTGAGCTCGTGAACATTTTTGGAGTGTCATCGTAAATTCTCTGCTTTGAAAGACAAAAATATTGGGGTGTCAGGTGCAAATATATCACCAGATAATTTGAAAACTGTAATCAATTTACCTCTAGTTCTTCGATATGGCAACGGGAAAATGTTTAGCTCAACCAGTCGATGGTCTTACGGGAGCTTCGCTATTCCGGGAATCACTTCAGTTGATGTTTTCTGAACCTTTTTAAAATTCGCTGTCTTTTTTAAACATGAGCTAGCCGCTTGCATGCAGCACTCAAGTTTAGGATGGATAAATAGTATATACAGCGTTAAAAAGTTTTAGCGTCGACCCTACATACTGACCATGTGGCTATTGTATGACAGCGTGTAGTAGATTTTAAGTCTTAGCTAACGATGACTCTCAAGTCATTGTTTGTCTGAACAACAGGTAGCTCAGTGTTATTCGTCGTGTACGTATCTACCTTGATGGCCAATATGCATCACAATAGGCTTGAAAATATTTATCGGCATCTGCCAATTTTCGATGGTCATTCACATACAAGAGGAAAAAGACTGACCCCATAGCTGTACCCTGAGGAACTCTGCTAGGCACAGTTTCCCAGCTAGATAACTTGGAGTCTACCCGTACTCCTCGTTGACGCCCGACTAAGAACTCTTTCATCCACATCAATAAATTACACCCAACTCCTGAATTTCTTAACTTATATAACACACGGTTGTGAGAGATTTTGTCAATGGCTTTACTGAAGTCAATGTACGCTATTTCTATAGGTAACTTTCAATTTTTATGAGACAGGAATAGCCTATTCTAAAGCCATGCTGCTTTTCCGAAAGCATCTGGTTTTTATTGAGATACTTGAACAACACGTTCCGAAAAATCCAATCTAAAATTTTAACAACAACGCTAGTTAGGCTAACGGGTCGATAGTTCTCAGGTTTATGTTTCGTACCTGTTTTGAAGACAGAGCTTACTATGGCGATTTTCCAGTCTTGTGGTAATCGACCCTGGGTAACAGATAGATTAGAACATATACTTAAGAAGTTCACAACGAAGTTAGCTAGTTTCCTATTCTTTTAGTCATTTACTTTATATACTAATATAAGAGTTTGTGGCGTTCTATAAATTGCTTAGCTATTTTTTCTTCGTACAACCATGTACGCTTAAGGAGGGCAAAGGCACGAGTTTTTCAGGCCTCTCGATATTGAGATTTTGCCTCATCTGTACCCATTAACCTAAATCTTTCCCACATTCCTCTCCTCTTGAGTAGAAGGATGCGGAACTCACCAATGAACCATGGTGGAGGGTTTCTCGGCCCTCTTGATATAATCCATGGGATGTGAGGTGCGGTAACTCTTAAGTATAAATTTCGGAATGTGTGCCAAGCCGTTTCAACTGAGGACTCCGGGTCGATTGTACAATCTACTAACGATGCTGAGTGCATGGTATCTGGAATGTTTGCTTTCCAGACGTTAGGTCTGGGTTGAGCTAACGCGTGCTCGTGATTGACAGTTTATGGAAGTCAAAAGTTAGAACTGTATGATCAATTTTACCTAAGGGTGGCATGTAATAGATGTTTGCAACGTCATCCTCATAGTGATTCAATATAAGACCTAGTAAGGATGATTCAGAGTTAGAGTCGTACCTAGTCACTTCTTTCACATGTTGTACTAGGGCATATGCAATAACAGCATCAAGTAGTTCATGCCCGAAGGAATTTTCTGACAATTCAATCCTCAGATTCTTCCAGTCTACTCTCTGTGCATTGAAGTCTCCTCGGATTAATTACCAACCACTTTGTGACCAAATATTGAAGCTGTCTAAGAAGAACTCATGTACCTCACAGCTTACTGCGGTAGACCAAACAAAATAGCAGTTCTTGTTTCTTGTGTTTCAAACGGCAACTAACTAGTTCTTACGTCCCAATCTCATGGGATACAGTGTCGATAATAGTAAATGGGATAGTGTTCCTAATGAATAGAGCTAGTACTCCTCCTTTGCGCTTCTGGATTCTGTTGGCTCTTACGTGAAACCTTCAAGATCAAGTTTCATGCTATATATGTATTAGCTAATTTTCTGTGACTGCGATTACATCTGGCTTGGTAGAGTAAATTTGCGCACCCAGTTCAGATCGCTTATTAAGCGAGTTTCGAGCATTTGTGCAACATATCGGAAGCCTATTTAAATGGCTTCGCGCTGCACCCATAGTGGATTCGCTATCATTCCCTGTTGAGACCTCACAATCCGAAAATTTACAATTTTCAGGCCCTTACTGTTAGTTCTTTTTCGGCTTCTCATCTTTCTACATGATCTGCGGGGTGCAAGTCCTTACAGACAAAAACTCCTGACCCCTTTAGTTTATGTCCATTCCGTAATATCAAGTCCCATTCATTAGGAAATTTAAATACTACTTTAAGCAGCCTAGTTTATATGTCACAAATTCATTTGGCTAGTTTGTCTATACACTTTTAGCAACGTATTCGGAGGCATAAGTTGATTACGTATCTGTCCTACAAACCTAACGTCACGCACAAAACGAGTTTTGGGTTCTGAGCTTTCACTTTATGAAAGACAACTGACCTGTCACTGTGATCATTTATTAATTTCTCGGCTACTTTAGGGGAAGGGGTTGGATTTTCTTCAATAGCGTTATGTCATGTTTTGTTCTCGACTTGTACCCACTCGTCAACTTTCGTCAAGTTAGCAACTACAAACGCATCAAACATATTGTGGAATTCCGGAATGGTATCGATGACTTGGGCAGTCAGGTTGTTTCTCCTGTTAGAAACGGATTGAGCCTAGCGATTGGGATTTTTAAGCGTTTCCTACCGTTCAACGGTGGAAGTCTAGCCACCTCACTGCACAAATTCTAGTCAGTCTGGGAAGTTTAGTCCTAACGTCATTTGCATTTCACAAACTTTTGCCGTGTTTTTATGCAGCAAAAGTACCATTTCTGATTTAAAGAATCTATTCCAAGCTATACGTTCGGTAGATTACTTTTTCTCGAGTTTCACCCAATCTAATAGTTAACTGTCGTTTTGCCTCTGCTTACTTTTCGTTTTTTTTTCATTTTTTCACGTAAAGGCTAGTTCAGTATATCTCATGCGTTTTATCAATTTTTGTCCGTTTTCAGTGTGCTTTTTAGTGTATTTTTTACGGTCTTAGGCTTTTGCTAGCATCTACATCACAGTTTATGTCAATACAGTCACGAAAAGTTCATGCAAACGACCTGGATGCCGTTTTGCTGTTACATCTGGCATGCAGTGCGACAACTGCAAAGGTTGGTTCCACGAAGCGTGCACAGATCTCACAGCAACTGCTTACAACAGACTCAGTAAGTCGCATCACAAGTGGGAGCGTTACGTGCAGCACAGACGCTGTAGTTTTGCTGAGTAACATCATTGTCCCATTGACAGGTCTGCGGAATAAGTTGTCAGCAAACTTGGAAAATGACAGTCATAAAACGGGTAGACAAATAAGGGCGCGAAACGAAAACAAGAAAAGTGATGTTGACAGGTATACCATCGTTCGAGCATGCATTAGCACTAATGATGACATGTTAAAACTCAGCAACATCATCAAGTCTATGGTAATAGACTCCCTCAGCAAAATCGGGTCTCCCAGCTCAGGGTTCTTGAATGCAACAGTGATTCCCAAAAACTCTATAGGTGATTGAACCCACGTTAACGGAGCTAAAAAGAACCAGGCGTCACCGTCTAAGCTGAACACCCCAAGTATCGCACGGAAATCAACTGGTGATTTGGTCTCACAGTCTACCTCAAAAATGTCCGTCCGGTCATCAAAGACCCTAGGATTCAGACACGTGCTTCGACCTCCAAAAAACAAGGTGCTGGATATCAACGCACCAGAAAACCTGGAAAAATAATAACGGTTAGTGATGACTCTGTCATAATCATTTGTCAGAAAAACTGAGCTAAGATATCCAACCAACATCAGGCGCTGGAATTCCAAACGGTTGGATGTGTCAGCTCTACATGACTATCTACAACAGGTGGTTTGGGATGTTCACCCTCAACTCGATGTGGACGGTCATTGGGACTTCTTACTGCACACGCTCTTATGTGCTACAAACTATTCAGTTTCTCAAACGGTTCCCAAAAGCTGCAAGCCACCTACAGTAATCAAGAAACGTACCCTTCGCCTGCTAAGCCGCAAAAGGCACTGTTGGGCGGAATACAAACGAACTGATAACGACGGAGCGTATAGACAATATAAACATATCAGGAACATATGCACGAAGGCTTTAAGAGAAGACAGGCTTCAGTACCAGACAAAGCTTATGGACAAATTTGCCTCTAACCCTAGAAGCCTATTCCGTTATGCAGCCTCTCTTCGTCAAGCCAAAACTGGAGTTTCCCAACTGCTAGGTCCTAGTGGCCCGACCAATAACGACGGCGACGCCGCTAACCTTTTGGCCGAACAATACTCTTGGACATTTCAACAGATCCACATCAACTATACCGATGACAGCTTCATCTGCAACTGCACATGACTTTCCGTGGTGAACCTGAACGCTGACTTAGTGTTCCGGAAACTGCAACACCCAAGAAAAGACACTTCTCCTGGCCAAGATATGGTTCATTCTGCTATACTGTGGGAAGCAGCCTCAATCCTGGCAACGCCGCTTAGCGTGATGTTTTCACACTCGCTAAGCCGAGGCAAACTACCGGAAAATTGGAAGCTGGCTCACATTAAACCACTTTTCAAAGGTGGTCGACGCAATGAACCTTCAAGTTATCGGCCGGTGGCTCTTCTGTCATTACCTTCAAAACTCATGGAGTCCCTGATATGCGACGGTTTAAACGACTATCTACTGTCGTTAAATTTCTTCTCACCCAAACAGCATGGTTTCAGGAAGGGTTACTCTTGTATAACCAACATACTGACTGCGGTGGGCAGATGGACAAGCATCCTCGATCGCAAGGGGCAGGTTGATATCATTTACCTTGATTTCTCAAAAGCCTTTGATAAGGTTAACCACTTGTGTCTTATCAATAAGCTCAAACAACTAGGTATCAAACCACCTCTAATCGATTGGCTTACTTCATACCTAAAGAATCGACATTTCAAGGTCAGGGTTAGCTTTACTTTATCTTGGGCTATGAAATGTCCTAGTGGGGTCTCCCAGGGCTCAGTACTAGGACCTCTTCTCTTCTTGATCTACATAAATGATCTTCCGCAACAAGTAACGTCAGACTTATTACTTTTTGCCGACGACGTGAAACTTTGGAGAGAGATACGCAACCAAGACGATATACTTGCACTTCAGGAGGATCTGAGTGGACTTCAAAGTTGGGCAGACGATAACGGACTTACCTTTAACACTTCAAAGTGTAAAGTAGTCCATCTGCGACATGTCGCAAACTACAGTTACAACTTAGGAAACTCCTCTCTAGTAGTATCCCAAGTCGAAAAAAATTTAGGAGTCCTGGTGCTCCATGATTTGAAGTCTTACGCTAACTGTGACAAAAATGCCTTCCGTGCAAACCTTGCACTGGTAACGTTGAAGCGCATTTTTGGACCTTATGAAGAGAGCCTTCAATCATTTAACCCATCAGAGTGTAGGCGTCTTAGAGGTAACCTCCTGATGGCTTACAGTATCTATAACACTGCTGGACATCCACTTAAACACCTACTTGAGCTTATTCTCAACACAAACCTAAGGGGCAACACACCTAGAAACTTGAGAGACACCACAGCAGAACGAAATGTAGACACAACTTCTACTCCTTAAGAGTTGTCATAAGCTGAAATTCGCTGCCGGCCGAGTTAGTCAAAGTGACTTCTCAGGAGTCCTTCAAGAGGCAACTTGACCTATTCTTAAGGACCAAGGACAGCATCACACTATGATTTACCAATTTCTTTTCCTCTTTTATCGTTAACATACCTAGGTTCCTGCCTGGAGGATTTGGTGATCCCCTGCTACTAGACACGGAAGCCTGTTAAGCGAAAGCTTCTTCTATTCCATCCACAACCATTTGAACCATTTGAACCCTACTGGAATATCATTATCACACACGTTGGGTTAACCCCGAAGACTTGCACACGAAGAGCAAAAACCCACCAATTACTTCGATTCCACATCCTTACACATTATCAGTTAGGCAAGTTAATTATTTATTCTTGAAATAATCATCTCTTAGCACTTGAATTACCACTTTACTATTCTCATATTCCAATGAACTGACTTATCTCCTGGTAGTCCAATGTATGTTAGTTCTAGAAACTGCAAAATACCCTGAGAAAAACGCATTTACTCGAATTAAAAAACTTACAAGTCCGCAGATTCAAAATAGTTCAAATGGTTCAAATGGTTGTGGATGGAATAGAAGAAGCTTTCGCTTAACAGGCTTCCGTGTTTATTAGCAGTGGATCACCAAAACCTCCAGACAGGAACCTAGGTATAATAAATATAGTATATTTAAAAAAAGAAATTGGTAATTCATAATAAGGTGTTACCCTTAGTCCTTAAGAATAGGTCAAGTTTCCTCTCAAAGTACCCACGGGAAGTCGTTTGAACCAGTTCAGTCGGATGCGAATTCCAACATTTGACAACTCTTAGAGAGTAGAAGTTGTGTCTACATTCCGTTCTGCTGTGGTGTCTCTCATGTTTCTAGGTGTGTTACCCCTTAGGTTTGTGTTGAGAATAAGCTCAAGTAGGTGTTTAAGTGGATGTCCAGCAGTGTTATAGATACTGTAAGCCATCAGGAGGTTACCTCTAAGACGCCTACACTCTAATGGGTTAAAAGATTGAAGGCTCTCTTCATAAGGTTTGAATTTGAGTCCCCGAACTACTTTGTGGCGCGTCATTGGATACGCTCCAGAGTGACATTATCGTTTTGGAGTGAGGGAGGAAGTACTATGTTTCCTTACTCTGAATGGGAACGAATAAAACTGTTGAAGATTATGTGGAAAGTTCTTCCGTCAAACTGGCCAAGGATTCGCTTCAATGTTATCAGTGCAAAGATTGCTCGAAAGGCATTTTTGTCACAGTTAGCGTAGGACTTTAAATCGTAGGCACTAAGACCCCTAAATATTTTTCGACTTGTTGTAACTGTAGTCTGCAGCATGTCGCAGATGGACTACTTTACACTTTGAAGTGTTAAAGGTAAGTCCGTTATCGTCTGCCCAACTTTGAAGTCCACTCAGATCCTCCTGAAGTGCAAGTATATCGTCTTGGTTGCGTATCTCTCTCCAAAGTTTCACGTCGTCGGCAAAAAGTAATAAGTCTGACGTTACTTGTTGCGGAAGATCATTTATGTAGATCAAGAAGAGAAGAGGTCCTAGTACTGAGCCCTGGGAGACCCCACTAGGACATTTCATAGCCCAAGATAAAGTAAAGCTAACCCTGACCTTGAAATGTCGATTCTTTAGGTATGAAGTAAGCCAATCGATTAGAGGTGGTTTGATACCTAGTTGTTTGAGCTTATTGATAAGACACAAGTGGTTAACCTTATCAAAGGCTTTTGAGAAATCAAGGTAAATGATATCAACCTGCCCCTTGCGATCGAGGATGCTTGTCCATCTGCCCACCGCAGTCAGTATGTTGGTTATACAAGAGTAACCCTTCCTGAAACCATGCTGTTTGGGTGAGAAGAAATTTAACGACAGTAGATAGTCGTTTAAACCGTCGCATATCAGGGACTCCATGAGTTTTGAAGGTAATGACAGAAGAGCCACCGGCCGATAACTTGAAGGTTCATTGCGTCGACCACCTTTGAAAAGTGGTTTAATGTGAGCCAGCTTCCAATTTTCCGGTAGTTTGCCTCGGCTTAGCGAGTGTGAAAACATCACGCTAAGCGGCGTTGCCAGGATTGAGGCTGCTTCCCACAGTATAGCAGAATGAACCATATCTTGGCCAGGAGAAGTGTCTTTTCTTGGGTGTTGCAGTTTCCGGAACACTAAGTCAGCGTTCAGGTTCACCACGGAAAGTCATGTGCAGTTGCAGATGAAGCTGTCATCGGTATAGTTGATGTGGATCTGTTGAAATGTCCAAGAGTATTGTTCGGCCAAAAGGTTAGCGGCGTCGCCGTCGTTATTGGTCGGGCCACTAGGACCTAGCAGTTGGGAAACTCCAGTTTTGGCTTGACGAAGAGAGGCTGCATAACGGAATAGGCTTCTAGGGTTAGAGGCAAATTTGTCCATAAGCTTTGTCTGGTACTGAAGCCTGTCTTCTCTTAAAGCCTTCGTGCATATGTTCCTGATATGTTTATATTGTCTATACGCTCCGTCGTTATCAGTTCGTTTGTATTCCGCCCAACAGTGCCTTTTGCGGCTTAGCAGGCGAAGGGTACGTTTCTTGATTACTGTAGGTGGCTTGCAGCTTTTGGGAACCGTTTGAGAAACTGAATGGTTTGTAGCACATAAGAGCGTGTGCAGTAAGAAGTCCCAATGACCGTCCACATCGAGTTGAGGGTGAACATCCCAAACCACCTGTTGTAGATAGTCATGTAGAGCTGACACATCCAACCGTTTGGAATTCCAGCGCCTGATGTTGGTTGGATATCTTAGCTCAGTTTTTCTGACAAACCTGAAGGCTATAACGGCATGATCGCTTTTCCACAGGGAAGCCAGGATTGGGAGGTTGTCAACTAGAAATTCTTCGTTTGTAAATACTTAGTCTAGACGCGACGGTATCCAATTGTTTCTCCAACGAGTTGCCGACTTCATATTTTCGTATAATCCCAAATCCTCAATGAGTTTGAAGAACCGAGCTTCAGTTGAGTTTTCACTTCTATTATACGTATGTTTCGCGAAATTAACTCTAGGGAGATTGAAGTCCCCTAGAATCAGGATATGAGTGAAACCGAGACGCATTGAGCGGGATATTCCTTCCAGCATACGACTGTCATTCTCGATGTCAGCGGTGGGCTATATCCAAGTGGTCAACTGCTGTTAGCTTACATCACGCTTATGAATATACAACATGCTGAGGGTACCTCCTCATGATCGTGTAGACTGGCTTAGTATAAAGAATATAGGGAGCGTTCTCGTCGCTCCCCCCGAAGTACCTCGTTTATGACCACGTTAAATGCCGTCTACGCCAAAGTCAATACTTCCCGTTTGTGCTTGGACATGGACATCTCCGACTATTAACTGATCATTTGATGATGGATGGTCTAATTTTGAAGATTTTCTGACTTTACCTCATCTCGTCACGTCGCCTACATGCTTAGTCTGGTCTAAAATTTTGATAGTCCGACTATTTGTTTGTGGAACCGTCTCACGTGCGTCGTGTCCCTAGTACTAGAATTCAGAGGTAGCCAAAGTAAGAACCGACAACAATCTTCTCTCAGTTCCCCTGAAATATAAATACCTATAACCATGCCGAAATGACATAAAACGAGTGAAAAGAAATCGACAGGTTTATATGAGCTAGTCACAAATATATTGGATACTAGGCCTATTTAATTGTTGTTGTTGTCATAACAACTAGTAGTGGTTTGTCAACTTTTGTAATGGTAGCATTTTATTAATGATGACTGTTATGTACTAACCTTTCAGGGCTTGTTAAGTCTTCTAAGGAGATTGAAATCCAAACCAGAACAAGAAATAAGAATTCTTCTTCTTGGTTTAGATAATGCAGGAAAGACAACTTTGCTTAAACACTTGGCATCTGAAGATATAACTCAAACAACTCCCACTCAAGTACTTTAAAAATTATTTATTATTTTTTCAGGGATTTAACATCAAAAGCGTTCAGTCACAAGGGTTCAAACTAAATGTTTGGGATATTGGAGGACAGCGAAAAATTCGCCCATATTGGAAAAACTACTTTGAAAATACAGATATCTTGGTAATTATTTCTCCTCTTCTTTATAGGATCCTAGATTTATGTGATCGATAGTTCAGATAAAAAGCGCTTTGAGGAAACCGGAGAAGTAGGTTCTGCTTTTTTTATAAAAATATCTACATGCAAAAAGGACTACTTTGTTTACGGTGATAAACTTTGCCAATCCCTATTATCCGTTTGTATTTTATAGCTTTTTTGTTTATTCACTGATATTTGTCGGTTATCACAAAATTTATTGAACCAGTTATGGGCGGTGGTACCTGACAATATACTCCATAATGAATAACAACTCAAAATTTCTGAAGTAACTGGTAGGAAACTGTAGTTTCACAAACATAGGTAGACGTTTTCATACTCTCTAATCTTGCCTTTGTACCATCCCATAATATGTTGCAGTTTCTCGTCACTAATCTTATGCCATTTTACAAAGTATCATTTCAGTTAATTCGCTAATTTTTTGTCACATTTTACTGCCCATTTTATTTGGGTACACTCTTACTCTTGTTGCTCTCTTAATCTACATCGATTTAGTCTTACAACCTTTATCTCAACCAACTGGACGAACGCCCTGTAAAATGGCGATTGTTTATTGTAGCCCTGAGATGAATTCATTTACTTAGTATCAAAATATAATAAAATATATAGAATGTGAAAATCTGGTCAAGAATAAGTTCTATTAGAAAAACAGTTTAGCTAAGATACCTAATATAGACTTCTCTCAGATGATGAGGTTTCCTTTAATCTTATGAAGAATTTGATTAGAGATCATTACTAGTTTCTGCTCTAGATCAAATCGGGCATTCCACATCGTATTGAAACATCATCCTAATAGCTGCAAACTGAATATGCCAGTAAATAATTTCTTATTCTGAGTGGTTTAATGGGTTTCAAGATGCGTTCCCAACGTAGCTAGTTTTGATGGATCTAATTGGTTTAAGACACATAGTCAAGTATCCATACCACTTCCTAATACGTTACCGCGTTCATACTATTTTCAGCTCACGGAAAACCTGAATGCACTATACTAATTACTGATCTATGTGATTAATAGTTATCCTCTAAGTGTAGTTTTCAAAGAAGCCTAATATTAGTGCTGCTTAATTGCTCCTCATCATACGGCTTTCTGTATAATCCAAGCACTTTAAATGACTGAGGAATAATCCATAAGCACTGGCAATCACTTACAAGCGACAGTAATAGGTAGCCTTCCGAAACTACAAACTAATTTTAAGTGGAATAAAGAAAAATGTGGTTTTCCAAAATACCATGTTTTAGATAGATATTAAACTTTTATTGGTATAAAATACAAGCAAACTGATGCACTTTATTTGAACTTTTGGCACAAAAGACCGGCTACTTGATGTACAAAGCGCAGATTTATTTACTTGACTTAACTCCTTGTCTTTTATAATGAATTATAGTGATACTCCTCGGCTAAAAAAACTGAAGTAGATGGAAAGTGGCAAAAATCTACGGTTTACTGATTATAAACCAAGTGCTTTAGTGATTTAAGTGTATCAAAAAAGAGGATAGATTTTTAACGCTCGTTAATATCCATACAACTATCCAAACAAGATAACTCAGTCCATTTTAGTGACTGACAACTAAATCTTAATTTATTCACAATATCTTTTATGGTTCAATAAAAGTATTTTGTACAGCTGTGATTCACAGTGTTTTCATTAACTGTAGACTTTAATCATGAACAGTTTATCAAGATGTGTTCAGCATATATTTGTTCCCTTGTTTGGGAAAATTCTAATGTTGGAGTAGTATGTCTTTTTGTTCATGGCTGATCTATACAGTACATTTTCCTGACAGCAATATCCCACGAATTATTGGTGGCTAAGTTAAAATACTATCCATTGTGTGAATGTATTAAAATCACTTGAATTAGATAGTATTCAATCGGTTTACGTAAATACGCCTAGTAAATGAAAATTCAATATCAAACAACTCTAAAGAATTGAAGGTAGATGTGATATCAAGGAGTGTTACGGCTTTTGAGATCTATGAGTGATACAAAACCTACTTATATCACCCATTTACCCTATTCTTTAAATATTTTTTCCTGCTGTTTCTTGTTGATTACTTTGTGTTTTATTTACTGCATATTGTAAGATACCTGAGTCTCATACCAATAATGGTGCTATTGTTTAAAGGTCTACGGAACAGTTAGTTTATTCCAGTGATGAAACAGTATCTAAAACTAACATTGGAGTTGAACTCTCGAAAAAACTTCATCCCTTTATTTGCAAATTAATGAAAGGAGGTAGCTCATGATAGTTTCCTATTCATTCGTAGCACATAAGTTTGCTCCCGCAATTTTAATTTCTCAGACAAGTGAGCGATATTTTATTGCTATTTGTGCATGTTGTCATGTTAGTTCTTTACTTAAGTGACTCGATCAGGTGGCTTTATAAATCTTGACTTGTTTCTCTGACCTTCGTGTACGGTGTTTTTCAAGTTAGATAACTTTTTTTGAACCTGAAGTTGAATTGTAAAATTTCCCCGGATAGTGTAAAGTCTTTTACTATCTAAAACACCAAAGGATCCACGGGAATCCCCTGTTGTTTTTACTGCCTCAGATGAGATAAAAATGTCTCCTTAAAGTGACCGATTATTTAGCCCATTTTTATACTTCTTGTTTCATAGAATGTATTTCCCTCATAGGAACTCTTGGAACTTTTATCAGAAGATAAATTAGCTGGAGTTCCTTTAATAGTGTTCGCCAACAAACAGGACTTGCTCACTGCCGAACCAGCAAACAGAATATCAGATGGGCTTGGATTACTAACTATTCGAGATAGACCATGGCAAATTCAAGGCTGTTCAGCTTTAACTGGCAATGGTATACAAGTAAGCTGAAATATTCGTTTTGAATTTTAGGAGGTTGGTTCATTATTTATGAAATATTTCTCTATCAGTATTACTGATGTGCGATACTCAAAGTTTATATATATGTATGCAAATTTCCGGACTCTATCTTTGTGTCAATAGTGTATTATCCAAAGACGAAACAATTAAACTATTCTAAGCAAAGGTGGATAGTAACTAGCAGTGAAATCCAGGACACATGACACTTCGTTCTATTTGGGACTCATCAACTGGATGTACCTGCATCTCAGAGTTGATGCTCACTTTGATTTTCACATCGCAAAAACAGGTGGCTATCAGGATTCAGTAGCTAGGTGGATAACGTGATATCGTTTGAAGCGAACGGTACTGGATTCGAATCTCAGAGTAAACATCAACTATGGTATGCAGGTACATCTAGCTGACGAGTCCTAAATAGGACGTAATGTTGCACATCCAGGATTCCACTGCTATCCACTACCCATCTTTGCTTAGAATGCTTGATAGTTAAGACAATATCGAAGCAATACACACAGCATGCAAATATACCAACAACATACTGATCAATTGTAGTGCTAAACATCAATGGAAAGATTCAAGCAAACAATACCAAGGCAAATTAAACTATTCATTTCTAAAAATTTAACACCTGTAGATCCCTCTATTGTAGTTACACATCATTTTCCAGTATATCAACATAAAACAATTGCGATAATTAGATCAAAAGTTGTTGTATTCATAATTCAAGTTAAGATGACACTGATTTTTATGAATACTGACAATCAGTTATTTGTAACTGTTACGTTCTTGATCTGCCCACCCACTTTTGGTTCTGAGGACTTGTCTAATCTAGAGATTAAGACTTTGATGCGATACGGTGGCCGGCTTAACCTTGAGGCTAGTACGCGTGAGTTCGAAATGGGGTAGAGGGAAGAAAACTGTTCTATCGCGTGATTGGCTGACAAGCACGCGAGTGAAAGAAGACAAGTCGACTGGGACACTACTCGATTTATTCTCAATTCCGATTTGGTTCCCAATTTCCCGGTTTCAGATCAGTGTGGAAAAGATACATGAATAAATAGATGATTAACCTGACCTGGCTCCGGGAGTTATCTCACTAAGAAATGACGTTTCACATTTGAATGATCAGTTTTCAAGAAAGAAATAACATACGTGGTAGTGAAACAATATCCACTCAATTATGTCATAGATTCTTTACAGCTGTTTAAACTTTAAATGTCATGTGGCAGTTTTATAAGCAAAGATAGATAATGGCTAGCAATGGAATCCAGGATGTGCGACACTATGTTTTATTTGGGATCCGTCAGCTGGATGTACCTGAATCACAGAGTTGATGTTCACTTCGAGACCCGGACCCAAAAATACCGTTTGCTTCAAACGCCATCGCGTTATTCACTTAGCTACTGAGTCCTGATAGTCATTGTGTGAAGTTTATCTTCACTTAGTATTATTTGCTTATATCTTCCCCTTGTTATTTAAGACTGTAATTGATCAGTCTCTTTTTGGCATATGTACATCTTGTGCAAACTGCCTTGAGTCCCGGAGTGAACATCAACTCTGGGATGCAGGTATATTCAACGTCCTGGATTCCACTATAAGCTGCCATCCATCTTTACTTAAAAAGCTTGTGACGTAAAACAATATCGAGACAATCCGCACAAGATGCAGATATGTCAACATAAGACTGATGAATTGCAGTGTTTAACAACGATCGGAAGATTCAAGCAAACAATGCTAAATGCTTCATATAGCTAGTTATTCGAAAACAGAATGTATTTAAGTTTCTTAGATAATATGAATATTGAATACTATAAACTATCTATCTATATCAATATCTATCATCTTACATGTCAATCAACACTGTTCAATGATTCAATACAGCAACATAATGACAATAAAGATTTTTGTGAATATATTTCACACATAAAATAATTAGGTTTTTCATTTGATTTTATTTTGTCATGACAACATGATTATTTCACTGGTTGAAATTATGAGTCAATTGAAGTTAGAGCACCATGGAAAACCTGGAAGTGAAATTTCTAAAATCTCCACAAAAAAACCCTTCTGATAATAATCATCTGCTCACTAGTGACTAACTTCAAGAGATACTCCTTGAGTTCTAATGAGAGACCGTTACCCCTGGATTTCAATCAGGCCTGTTGTGAGATATCAACTCATTGATGACAATGGTGTACGGTGGCGCAAACTCGTGGATTGGTTGAAGTTAGACATTAACACCATTGGATGCCGGTTCAATGGTCTAGTGGTTAAGTGCTCACGCGCGAAAGCAGTAGTTCCTGGGTTCGAATCTCACGGGGGACGAGGTCGTGAGTGCGCACCGCTGAGGAGTCCCATACTGGGACGAGGCGGCTGTCCAGTGCTCCCAGGTATTCCATGTTAGTCTAGCTTCAATTGACTCATGATTCCAACCAGTGAACTTTCTAAAATCTCTACAAAACCTCTTCTGATGACATGATTATTGGTTTACAATTAATCACTTCTTTGTTACCCACTTACTTATTTACTTACTTACGCCTGTTACCCCTAATGGAGCATAGGCAACTGACCGGCCTTCCTTCCTAGTTCTATCCAATTCCTTGTTCATTCTTCTCATATCTATCTCTATTTCTCAACGTAATATGTTCTCTATTGGTCTTCCTCTTATATTTTGGCTTTGAGGATTCCAATTGAGGGTTTGCATTATGACATAGTTAAATGTTTTCTTCAATATGTGTTCTATCCACTTTCAGCACTTCATCTTTATATTCAAGTTAAAATTTTATAGAGATCATTCTTATCAATATGATCTATTTTAGGCGTTTTTCTTTTGTTTGTTTTTTTCTTTTTCTTTTCTCTTCTTTTTTTTGTTTACGTTTTTCATATGACAACAATTTAGTCAACATATAAAAAAAAGGTTTCATTAAAATGTATAAAAATTTACTGGATTTTTTCATAATGAACTCCACTTTGATGCCGTTCACTGATTAAGAAAACAAAAACAAACAAACAAAAAAAATCAATATTGTTTCCTTTCTTTTATGATTCATATTTCATCTTTTCACGTTGCCATGGTAACTATGCTGTAGTCAACACTTAATGTGATCAAATCACTATTATTATTACTATTATTATTATTATTATTATTATTATTATTATTATTATTATTAATTTAATGATTGGACTAAATTTTTTAGGAAATTTTCCAAAATAATATTTTCTTTAAAACATTTAAAGAATCTTTAGAAATTTATGAATAAAAATTTTCATTATTGAATAAAAAAAGAATATCGGAAGGGGTTTTGTGGAGATTTTAGAAATTTCACTGATTGAATTCATGAGTCAATTGAAGCTAGACCATCATGGAAAACCTGGGAACACTGGACGGCCGTTTCGTTTTAGGATGGGACTCCTCAGCAGTCACAATTGATTAATCACTGAGCGGCGATCAATGTCATGCGTGTCTAGTCCTTATTAGTGCAGATCGACTGCTATCGACCATGTTGCAATGTGGCCACTAGCCCAGGTGACTTGACACTGCGTGCACTGTTGTGAGATTAGATGGTGGTTGGAGGTAGTTGACAGGAAACCCTGGACCCGGGTTTCGTGCTAATTGGCACTCGTCAGCAAGGTGTACCTGTAATCTTGGGGGAACTGGTGCTCCCTGGTGGATTCGATTTCGTGTCGCCCAACTTCACAGTCAGAGACGTTACCATTGAGCTATCCGAACAGCGATCGACCTCCTATAGAACTGAGCTGTAATCACAATTGATTGATCCCTGGGCGGCGATCAATGTCATGCGTGTCTAGTCCTTATTAGTGCAGATCGACTGCTATCGACCATGTTGCAATGTGGCCACTAGCCCAGGTGACTTGACACTGCGTGCACTGTTGTGAGATTAGATGGTGGTTGGAGGTAGTTGACAGGAAACCCTGGACCCGGGTTTCGTGCTAATTGGCACTCGTCAGCAAGGTGTACCTGTAATCTTGGGGGAACTGGTGCTCCCTGGTGGATTCGATTTCGTGTCGCCCAACTTCACAGTCAGAGACGTTACCATTGAGCTATCCGAACAGCGATCGACCTCCTATAGAACTGAGCTGTAATCACAATTGATTGATCCCTGGGCGGCGATCAATGTCATGCGTGTCTAGTCCTTATTAGTGCAGATCGACTGCTATCGACCATGTTGCAATGTGGCCACTAGCCCAGGTGACTTGACACTGCGTGCACTGTTGTGAGATTAGATGGTGGTTGGAGGTAGTTGACAGGAAACCCTGGACCCGGGTTTCGTGCTAATTGGCACTCGTCAGCAAGGTGTACCTGTAATCTTGGGGGAACTGGTGCTCCCTGGTGGATTCGATTTCGTGTCGCCCAACTTCACAGTCAGAGACGTTACCATTGAGCTATCCGAACAGCGATCGACCTCCTATAGAACTGAGCTGTAATCACAATTGATTGATCCCTGGGCGGCGATCAATGTCATGCGTGTCTAGTCCTTCTATTTTGGTTTGGTTTTTCTATGATCATGTTTCAGAAGGAAAAATGTTTTTTTTAAGTCAGTATATATGACAATGAGATTCTAAATCCTACTTATTTATCCTTCATTTCAAAACACTTTTTTATTATTATTTGAACATAGAAACATTAGTACAAGGGGGCACCAAATATATATGCGCCACACAATAACAATGTGGTCAGTAGTAGTTGTCATTGATTTGTGTGAGAGCTGTGATGCTGCCCGGACGCCCAAACCAATGCAGGTGGTTCTCTTTGGGTGGGGGGTACGTTCGGATTTTTCGACCTGAATGTTTAATACACAAGACAATGGGGCAACGTTAGTACATGCAGTCCCATGGTAGCCGGTGACCAACAATAGGTTCATACGCCTTTTGTTCCTTTAGGATCATAGAGCCCATGTGTTCACATCACAACTTGGTCGATAGCATTCGATCTGTACTAAGAAGGACCTGACACACATGACACTACTTTGTACATTACTATCGTAGATAATTTGAAGAAAAGGTGCTTTATCGACAAGTACTTACATTTTATATCAATTTCAACTACTCAATCCCTAATTATAGCGAATTTATAACTAGCCATATAATTGAACGAAACAAAACGAAAAAAATTGAAAAATGGGCTAAAAATTTTTAAAAATATCAGAAGGGGTTTTTGTGGATATTATAGTGATTTCAATAGTTTAGATCATGAGTCAATCGAATCTAGATCACCATGGAAAACCTAGAAGCACTGGATGGCCTTTACGTTCTATTGTGGGACTCCTCAACAGTGTACATCCACAATCCTATCTTATGAGATTTAAACCCAGAACCTTTCGGTCTCGTGCGCAAATGCCTAACATCTAGACCACTATACCGGTCAAGTATCCAATAGTGTTAATGTCTAACTTCAACTAATCCAAGAAATCGAGCGATAAATTCATCATTTTCTTTAGTATGTTACTATCTCAGAATAGATCTGGTTGAACTCCACCGGTCACTGTTTCTCACTGGAACTCCAGGAAATAAATCTTGAAGCCAGTCACTAGTTAGCATATATATATATATATATATATATATAAAATAATAATATTCATCATTCTTCATTGTTTATCTATTTTCAAAATCCATATATACTTATAAGTAGTATAATTGGTTTCTATTAAATTTTATTGTTTTTTTTTATAGGAAGGAATAGAATGGGTGATAAAATCAGTGAATACTCGTTCAAAAATGAAATAGAATAAAAGATAATTTATAAATATTCAATATTGTTTTATTATTTATCTTATAATCTACCATGATTATTGTACAGTGAATCCATGAATAGTACATTATATACTAATATGATTTCAATTAGTTACCATGTCAACCAGATGATCTAATGCCAGTATTCATTCATGGTTTAAGAAGAAGAAGAAGAAGAAGAAGAGAAGCTTTTATGAGGAGAATAGATCCATTTTGCTTACGTTTTCCCATTACATTAAAACAGATGCATTTCGAAACCTCTTTAAATTTTCTTTCTTTTCTTTTCACCTTTTTCGTCATCGTTGTTGTTGTTGTTGTTGTTCTTGGAAAAGATGCTTGAATATTTAGATGTATTTATGTAAGTATATAAGTATATTATTGTTTATATGATTAAACATTGCAAATACATGTTTTCATCTTGATAATTGAATGTTGTTTACTCAGTTATTAAATGTTACTGATGAAGTGAAAATTCAGTCAATCAGTCCGTTACAACGTAGAACCAGGCACATATATGCATCAGTCCAAGTTGTCATACCTCATTAGCACAACAAGATGATCATCGGATTCATAGAAGTAGTTAATTCGATGGTGGTAATATATAAAAGAAAGATTGCATACAAGGATATAGTACAGCTAGAAAGAATTAGTTCGTAGAAAGAAAGATATGAAGTGATTTTAACCTCACGGTTTGAGGGAAGATAGAGAGTGCATTCACCGACGCCACTAGTATCGATTCTGAGCCATGTCACCAAGAGTCTCCAACCATTGGTTACGATAGTCACGTGGACCCCAACCAAGTAATCTGCATTTACCAACATGGCTCAGACTAGAAAATAGTGACTTCAAGGACTAATGACACGTTTTGGTTTGGCTGCCCTCTAACCTTCTTCCAATCATTTTCAACATTAGTCAGTATTTCACGTCGTGGTAACCGGTGTTCAGGCATACGTAATACGTGGCTCAACCATCTCAGTCGATGAAGATTCACAACGTCATTAACTGATTTACCATCATTCCCTAATACCCTGTCATCTAGCTTCACTATTACTTACCCGATGATCCCAGCAGTTGCGAGAAATATTTCCAAGTCATCTGTAGTCAAATACTAGTAACTTCAAGTGTCTTCTACTCTTAATGACCTCGTTTTGCAGTCGTAAAGTAGAACAGAACGAACTGTCGCGCAGTGAAAAATCATAACTTCTTCAATGTCATCAACGAGATTAGTTATCGTTTGTTTAGATCAACAACTTTAGTGATCAAAGATTAGATCATTCATTGTACATCAACCGAAGTTTTCATAACAAAGTACTATGAAGAGATGAACTTCAAGAGTTCAAAATAGGTTTGTAACAATTACAGTAAAATGACTAATCATTGTAAATATAGTTTATTAAGATAGAGTGGAATTGTTTGTATACAGGAATAACGATATTCAAAGCTTGAAGGACGAAAAAGGGTGAATGGGTTAGAGGCATTATAAATCACTAACCACTGATCGCAGTTATCTTGTTGACGCAAAACAGATAGTTTGCTTCTAAAAGTATGACTAAGACTTCTAATATGTGGCCATATTAACTGCAGAAACATGTTAGCTTGGCTGATCATAGTTTCCTTGTAGCTTACTTCAATACTAAAAAATATATCACTTGTTCAGGCGGATGATGCTTGAGTATGCGTAACACATTTAAATTGATGAATATTCAAAACATGGTCGACGATTTGAAAACTTTATCTAGTACTATCTGTATTGCTTTAATCCTGTTTACTCGGTTATCCTGTGAAACGCGTGCAGTGTTTCAAATATATTTATGTTCGAAGTACTGAGGCGCACGCATATTTATTACAACCCTATGCTGTCTATGGCATGAGGCTGAAACGTGAAGAACTACTATAATCATCATCAAACAAGTACAAGTATTTATAGACTGTTGTCTACGCAAGATACTGAATATCCGTTGACTGGATGCCATCAGTAACAGCCTACTGCGGGAGAGGACAAATCAGTTTCAATCTGAGAAGGAAATTAGGAAAAGATATTGGAAGTTGATAGGATATACATTCTGGAATTCATCAAACTGCATCACGAAGCAAGCCCTAACTGAAATACCGATAGGAAACGGAAAACAGGAAGACCGATGAGCACACTATGTCGGGAATTGGAAGCAGAAATTCAAAGGATGAATAACAACTGAAAGGAACTGGGAATGATTGCCCAGGACAGGGTTGGATGGAGAGTGCAGGTGGATGGCCTATGCTTCCCCAGAAGGGGAAACAGGCGTAAGTAAGTATGTCGTCTACAGACACATCAACATTAGATGAATTTATCCAAATAACATTTTTTTTTCTGTTGGACAGAACTCTCCACTGGATACTACTGTTCGAGTAATTGTTGATTAACTTCTTGAATGTTTAGTATGAATGCAGATCAGACAGGCATTAGGAATAAAATCAGCTGTTTTAGTTCCCCCCCCCCAAAAAAAAACCAGTCAAGTAAATTCGCTTCATGCCTTGACTACTACTAAGTAACAAAAATAAAGATACTATGAGTAAGCTTAGTAACAGTTGATCATAGAAACTATTCAAGAAACATTTTTCAGTTCTGGAATACACAAACACTACAGTTTACCTTAAAGTGATACATAAGCTACTTCAAAATAGTTAACAATCAATCTCCTTAAGTATGTCTTATAGCCTGTTATTGATTATCAGTATCAACAGGAATTGATCTTTACCAACCAACGATACAAGATTAGAGAACTTCATCTATTTTGTGATTTCACATATGGTGTTGGTGGTATGGTATAGGAAATATATACCCTTCGCAAGTGATAAGTAATGAAATCCAGTCAAAACTACGATTAGATGAATAATCTTTTCATCTTAAAAATGGCAAGGTGTAATATGATTACTCTGTACCAGTAGTTCACCGTACATATAGGTCTCTACTTGTTCAATCAGAAGTCATTATATAATAGATCTCCACTTTTTACTAACAATATAGATGATCTTCTTGTTAGCCTGCGTATGGTCAGATATGTTAAGAAAGGTTATTCATATGTTCGGTTATACGAAAAGCAAGCGTTGGATACGTTTATCATTTGTCAAAGTAACAGGATGACTAACAAAATAAAGAGGTTAGATCTACCAAGGGATCAAGTATTCAAGAACACTTAATAGCCAGTTTAGGCTTATTCAAGTTGAATCTAGAAACTACTACTTATCTTGTCATAAGTAGTATATACCATTGTATGATCTATCACTATAGTAATTCGTGCGTCAAGATGTGGATATAGAAGATTTATACATTTGTAATATGAAGTAGTAAGGTTGAAATTGTTGTAACGAGCGGTGTCCGAAACCTTATACTGATACATAGTGTACTACACGCTAGCCCTCCAACTAACTACTGGAGTAAGAACCCAGGATCGAGCGAGAAATTGTATTCCTAAGATACTCATTCAAATATATATATAAATACCACTCTATCCTTAGGAAATTGACCAATTCCTTAACCAATGAAATACACTTTTCCTTTAGGTCATTTCTGAGTGTCATAGATTTACTTTCTCATTAGGCTACTTCTGATCGTCTCAGCATACCAGAAATTGGCTCTTTGTGTAGACTGTATGAAAAATAAATAAAGTCAATTTCGGTGTTTGGATGATCATTCCAAGTTGTACAAATAGTTAGGACCTCGTCCATTAGAGCCAATTGATTACAAATGAACCGATCGGTGTAATCAGATTTTAGCCTTCCAACAAATTCAATGGTCAAAACTATTCTGCTGAGAAGATTGATGTGTAAATGCTGAACTTTGTTGTTTTAGATGAAGGAATGACTTTGGTTAGACAATCGCTAAAAATTGGGAAGAGTTGGGCAACTGTTCCTTGCTGGCATCGTACTGTTTGGTTGAAGTAGGGATTTATCTACAACACTACTGGTTGAACTCTGAATGTTTATGTACAGTTCCGATTTCATAAACGTAAGACAATCAAGCTGACATCTAATAATTTATGTCTCCTAACTTCAATCAATTTGTGAAGTTTTAATGGCAAGAAGTAATAGAAGAGTATGTAAGATAGAAAATGAGTGTTCAGATTGAGGGTGTATGAAAGAGTTCACGTACTGTTTTTGTGCACAGAATCTAGACTTGAATCGATTATTGTCTGAATTCTTCGTAGTGCGTAAGTTCCTATCGTCATAAAGCTTCCTCATTTGACTGTATGAACGACTTCGACAAGAATGATTATGTGGCAAATAGATTGGAATTTACGAAAAGTTCAAAAATTGAATTGTCAGTTGACTTACTTACCCTTTGACAGTCAGAATGAGTGTTACTTAGAGATGCGTTTTGAAGGGATTTGAATTGTGGAGCCGATATTACCAACATAGAAATACCAGACTATTTGACAGTTTGTAGTGAATGAGAACACATGTTGGGACAATCGAATGTATTTGAACATAAAATTATAGAATCTCTTAGTAAAAATCTGAGATCCATTCAGTAAATAATTCATTTGCAAAATGTCAATCAATCATCTCAGACTTCATGTTTCCTTCGTTTCCACACCAATCACTTTCTTCTGATTGAGATCTTGAACCAATTGATGTTAGACCATCACAATTGAAAACCTGGAAGCACTGGACGGCCGTTTCGTCCTATTGTGGGACTCCTCAGCAGTGCGCATCCACGATCCCGCGAGCGGGATTCGAACCCAGGGCCTTCGGTCTCGCGCGCGAACGCTTAACCAACTGGACCACTGAGCCGGCATCCAATGGTGATAGTTTCTAACATCAACCAATCCACGAAATTGCGCGACCAACTTCCATTGTACTTAAGTCCCACAATAGGACGAAACGGCCGTCCAGTGCTTCCAGGTTTTCAATTGTGATGGTCTAACATCAATTGGTTCAAGATCTCAATCAAAAAAACTTAATAATCTCCACAACCCCTATACTAGTAATCACTTTCTGTTCTCATTTTCTTCTCTTCAATCTTCTTATAGCTTCTGCCGTCAGGTATTTCACTTCCAGTTGATGATTCATACTAATTATATCTATCGATATCAGTAGCACATGCCAGAAGTTAACTAACCTTAACTGACATGTTATCATAACAGTATATGTACAATGGTTATTGAGGATCCTATTTGTTATGTTTCTATCTTGATAATCAGGAA